ATCTATCTATCTATCTATCTATCTATCTATCTATCTATCTATCTATCATCCATCCACCATGACCAAAATAGCTCCCAAGAGATGCCTTAATGAAAAAGTTGTGGTAGCACAGTGGTTAGAATACAGTATTGCAGGCTAATACTCTGTCTGGCTCAAGATGGACTCAGCCTTCCATCCTTCCAAGATCAGTGAAATGAGGACCGAGATTGTTGGGGGCAATACGCTGACTCTGTAAACCACTTAGAGAGGGCTGTAAAGCATTATGAAGCAATATATAAGTCAAAGTGCTATTGCTATTGCTTAAGTGTTCCAAAAATGGAATACAGGTTAAAATAAGATAAACCTTAATGCCTTGAAGTTTGGGATAGGATACTGATTGTAAAATTAGCAACCTGTGAGGAGTAGATGAAATGTATTTATTTATCTTTGCATAGGTCATCATTTTCTTTTTAACCACTTCCAGGCATTAAAAAAATACCTAATTACTAACCAGTAGGACAAAAAAAATAGCATATGCCTTTTTTACCACTGTAATTCTCAAAGAAAATCTGCGCCTAAAAAGGGCCTTTCCTATCCTAGGGTTAAAGGTTTCTCATGGAGGTATTACCTGATTTATTCTCCCCTTCTCTAAATTGAATCCCCAGCTGGGTTAAAGTGTGTGCAGTCTCCATACTTTAGCAAAGCCATAATTTAAACAATGTAAAAGAGACTTTTTCTATAACTTGTGACCTAAGTGAACCTCAAGCATACTCAACCTGCTTATTTGCATGGATGATTGCAAGAACTTAGCAATACAATGACACATATAGCAGAAAGGTATCTTCCCCAGGTATGTTTGGCAAGTGTTTTTGACAGTTAAGCAAGTGTGCAAATAATAACTGAGAAAGATGTTAATTATATGGGAATAATTTGTTCTTGGTAGCAGGATAACTTTCACCAAAATATATACCTGACTCTATTATGCACACCTTTATGCCTTCTGTAATTTTAACTTTTAAAATATGCTTCTCTTCATTAATACTAAGATATTGGTATTAATTAACTGATATTAGTATTAATATCCTTGTATCCTAGGATATATTTCATTTTTTGTCCTTACAGCACCCTATATTCTATACCTGGCTTTTTTAAAAAAACTTTTTTCAGCAAGTGCTATTTAATGAATTAGAAACTGAGGCAGAATTAGAAATTGATCATGTTAATCAAGTAGTAATCAATCATAGATTAGCCCAACAAAAGCACATTTTAATTCCTTTAGATAGAAAATAGTTCTTATTTAAGAGCCTGTCATTGTTTATTGCCCTTTACCCCACTGTAGACTATTTGGCCAACCAAGCAATTATAGGAGGAGACAAGAAAATTTCAGTCTGTTTGGTATTATTGTGTAATGACCATGAAGAAATTGTCAGATTGGCAGCACCCACACATTCAGAGTAAAGAAAGTAGCTTGCTAAAGCCAAATAAGAAGTTTCTTCCTGATTAAATCTCAGAAGAGATAGTCCCAAGACATTTATTTAGTTTCTTTATGGATTCGAGTAGCTGCACAGTTAAAAAAAATGCAACTCTGGGTGGAATAAAAAGACAATAAATTCAGTTGGGGTGCTATTCCCCCTGGGTGAGATGAAGTGTGCAGCTGAAGGAGAAGTGTGGGCCCAAGAATGTTGTCAGTAGCACACAGCTTCCCTGAAAGGAGGCAGCACATTTCAGAGGGGCTCTATGATGACTCGACAGCACTAGCTCAACTCAGCCAGCAGGGGGAGGCCTTCTCGCCACTGCTGAGTCATCGCTGCCAGCTCGCTGCCGCCATCTTTTTGCAGGACATCTCAACACCACAAATTCATTGCAGGGACAACTCACTGAGGGCTAGCAGGCTGTCAGAGAGGGGTGGCGATGATTAGGGCTGTGCCGGATGGAAAGTGAGTAGGGGTGGAGTGTCAAAATGGAGACTCCCCCACTGTCCTGCAAGTTTTTTACAAGTAATTTTAATGTTGCTTAATGTTTGAGGGTGTCTCACTCTAAAAATAAGGGCAGTTTTGGGAAGCAATGGGGTAAAAAAGCTGTGGGAGTGGGGTGTCAAAATGGGAAGCTGCCACCGCCCTGCAAAAACATAGTAGCCAAAGACATAAAGCACCTTCTAATTTTAGTAAAATGGGGGAAAAAGGACAGACAAATCAGTTTCGTATTGATCAATTCATCATTAGCAAAGGCTAACCATTTTCTGATAATTAAAGTCAGCCCTATTTCTTTCTAGCATTGGCAAAACTCTACCAGCTGTCCCACTGCTTCTGAAAATGATGCTTTGATGTGCAATTTTGTTTTCTACTCAGAAGAACATCCATAATGGGGTCCTGAGAGATCAGATCCAATTGCTTTAAACTGGG